ATATATAATATGATTTTCTTTGTATGCACACGTGTGCGTGATCCATCTCAAACTTTGCAGAATATGTACTCTAGCTATAAATTTCCTCTCTTAATAATAATTAAAGTGTTGAGAACTTTGACCACAAACTTAATTGACCCGAAAACCCGCATACCATGGCTGCAATCCTGCATCACTTACCTTTAGCCAGCCTAGGGGACCTCATATCTTTAATCTATCCAATAATTATACATCCTCCTCATGATCAAAGCTAAACAAGAAGCTAGGGTATAATATATATACAAATTTTCTTCTATGTGGACTGATCGGTTCATAATTGTATATCATTTTGTACCCTTCTAGCTTATGATTTGGTTATGTTTTTGAGTTAAACTTGTGCTTTTAATCCTTTTTGTGTTTATCTTTCAGTTCATTGAGCTTTAGGTAATAATGATGGCTTTAGAGAGCATAATTCATGCAATTCAAGCATGTTAAGGCCTAATTTGGATGAATGGATGAAGAGCTTAAAGACAAACTCATTTTGGCTACAGCCCCCTGCTAGTCCAGTTCCGTAGGTCATATTGCAAGCTTTGTTTCAGCAACCTACACAGCTCGGATGAGGCGTGGAAAATGACATTAACTTGTATATCAGTTGTCTTAAGTCGAACCTCATGACACCTTGATGGTGTGTGTGTGAGAGAAAGCTCATTCTCCCTTACTACAATTAAGCCTATATACATGAAGCATGATGATGGTTAGAGCAGCAGCTGGCGGCATCTTCTCTACAATTTTATGGGTTTACATTGGTGGTGGATGCATATTACCAAAGCAGCATGCATCAGGACCCAAATTATCATCTTCATTATATAAATCCATATCTTGATCTTCATCTAGAAGCAAAGGATAGCTAATATTCTTTTCTACACTATTATTGCATGCCCTCTTTATTTGACCTCTGTGACCAACAAACGGCAAAATCATTCTTTTCAACAAAACCCACACACACACACATATATATATATACATATATAATATGATTTTCTTTGTATGCACACGTGTGCGTGATCCATCTCAAACTTTGCAGAATATGTACTCTAGCTATAAATTTCCTCTCTTAATAATAATTAAAGTGTTGAGAACTTTGACCACAAACTTAATTGACCCGAAAACCCGCATACCATGGCTGCAATCCTGCATCACTTACCTTTAGCCAGCCTAGGGGACCTCATATCTTTAATCTATCCAATAATTATACATCCTCCTCATGATCAAAGCTAAACAAGAAGCTAGGGTATAATATATATACAAATTTTCTTCTATGTGGACGTCGAGACGTTATTATATCATTCGAAAGCCATGTATTTTCTACTACTCTTCTTCTTTGTTTTCCTCTCTCTTTATAATAGCATATACACAATAATAACGTATTAACGGCCGCGTATATATATTCTCTACTATTTTTGAGTTAAAGTTTCACTGTGTCAACATTAATTGGACTTATCTATCAAATTTTGTGCTGATGATGATGCATTATGGTTCAATGGAATTGTAACCTCTCTAGAAGTTGAAAAGATTAATAGGTTGACCAACGCCAGGCCTGGAATCCTTGCGCTGACCACGTACGTGCCCTGCAAAGCCATCTATCAATATATATCATCATATCATTGGAAAAGAAACCAAAAAAGGAGAAAATATATCTATAATCTATCTAAATTGCTAGCTGTTGGCCTGGATGCCTTTAATTATAATTTAAAACACACACACAGCGATCAGAGGAGTAAGATGCAATCAAACGACTTACAGGCTCCTAGATCATGGTAAATCAAAGAAACTATATATATACATGACGTCCGCACAATAATATTGTCCGAATATCTACATTGGAGAAATATATATATATATGATCATGATGTGGTCAAACACTTAATTGCAAAGCATGGTTATAATATTATAAAGTACACCTTACGTACATTATTATGACATATGTAACACACAAAGCAAAGCAATTCCATTTCGGAGTTCAAAATCATGAGTTTTAAGAAATGCATATGGTTTTGACTTTTCAGAAGCACTCGCGATAAAAGTGAGAAGACAAAAAGGCCTTGAATCCCTGCGCTGACCACGTACGTGCCCTGCAAAGCCATCTATCAATATATATCACACAAAGCAAAGCAATTCCATTTCGGAGTTCAAAATCATGAGTTTTAAGAAATGCATATGGTTTTGACTTTTCAGAAGCACTCGCGATAAAAGTGAGAAGACAAACAATTATTATTTTTTTCAACTTTTGGATATTGTGGTATGTTTTTTGTTTTTCAGTTTTTGATGATGACATGAGTTAATGTTAATTGTGGGGTTCAACTTCAAAATCAAAGGCAGGATCGATTGGACAGTGATGCATGCTTAGGGCATATACACACAGTATACGTGTGCTTATAGCTGCAGTCTGCAGGCTCACAACTACCATTCAGAAGAGCTTTAAAATAGATACATATATATATTGGTATATAAGAAGGAGAACAGTGGGACCGGACAGACTGAGTCTGCTACCTTCTTTCCTCCTACAGATCCTCACACACAGACTCAGAGATGCGAACCTTTTGAGTGAATGAATGTGAGAAGCAAGAGATTGCATGTTATGATTTTAACTGCATTGTTTTCATAGGCCCAAACATAAAACAAAAAAGTTACTGCAACCTATCTCTCAATATAATTAATATTGGTAGAACATTGGAGTTCCATGAATTAATTACTGCATTTCAGAAAGTAAATCAAAGGTATCTCAAAAACCCAAATGAGCAGGCATACATACATACATATGAGCATTTCAAGGTTTCTGCAGGTTCATGAGAGGGAGAGAGAGACGAGAGAGAGAGAGAAGAAAGTATTGACCAATTGAAAGTGACCATCACCTCTCTTCCGTCTTCTCTCTCTCTCTCTCTCTCTCTCTGAGTTTGCTTCATCTCCGGTTTTCTTTTGTTGCTCTTTCCAATAATTACCACAGTGTTTTAAAGCTTTCAATATCATCCACTTCTTTCCAACCACTCTCTGCCCTGTGCTCATTTCTCTCTACTTCATGTCATAAATATCATCATTATTTCCACACTCATCCATCTACGCCTACTCTACTCTACAATTACTGACATATACATTTTTTTTGTATTTATTAATTAACATACATTACTACTAATTTTAACGTGGTATAACCTGGCTTTTTTTAGGGTACAAGTCATAGTTTACGCTACAGGGAAGGGGTTTCTCATATACGCACTATATATATGTATATGTATACAGTATAAATACTTGTATATAGAAGTATATATATATATATATATTCCAATTACACATTCTTAGAGGAAGACAAGAAAAGGCATGCAGCAGAAGCGTATACCATCTTGGCAACAAAGTTAGAAATTTCAAGCATAGAATCTTCTAAAGTCTTTGTCAAGCTTACCCCAAAAGGTCCAACTACCAGCAAAGCACATAGTGAAAATTAAAACTTTCGAAAAACAAAATAAGAAAAGGCTCAATTTGATGAAAGATAAGCGCCCATATAATGATTGTATAGAGATAGATATTGGAGGAGGTTATGATGGCTATGGAAAACAGTTGCTAATTTTGGCTACATACAAAATAGTGGAGGTTGAAGCTCATGTTGTTCATAAGTCTTCTTTCAAAGGCAATGCAAGTCCAAAAGCGCTTCTATCATCGCCATGGCCACACACACACCATGCTATTTTCAGAAATCAATGAAACCGCCCTCGCGTGCACCTAAAGACAACCATACAAGAAAAAGTGCTTTTATTTTTATATGGAACTATTATATATATATTTTCTGAAAAGTTTCCAAAAAAGTAAGTTTTACGTTCGTCATATATTATATGGTGTAGATATTATGGTTTCTTACTATATCTGTATCTGTATAGTATTAGATCGACGAGACAAGAAACCTTACATAACATGGATTTTTCATGAAAGTCAAAGTTAATTTGAGGGAAGAAGTTGGTAACTTAAGAACAAACACATGATTCACATGTACGTGAAAGATTGTATGTTTTTTATGCGATATAGAAGGCCATGTAAAAAACATTAGCTAAAAGATTCAGTATTGAAAACTTAAAGAGTATATGCCGGTTTCGTAGATTTGTTGACGTTGTGATACAACTAAAGGTCTGCATGTGTAAAGTTTGAAGACTGACATCGATCGAATCCACGTATTACCAGAAAACTTAAAGAGTATTTTGAAAATTGAACCTACATATAACAAGAGTATTGCGAGTCCGGTTAAGTAAGAACTGCCACAAGCATATACATAATGTCTCTTAAGAATAGAAAATAAAAAACTTCTAATCAGTTAGCAGCCAGTTTTTAGCTGTTCTTACCTCTATGTAACAGAGAAAAACTTAGTTGCAACGGAAAACAATTCTTATCTCTATGTAACAGAGAAAAACTTAATTGCAACGGGGAACAATAATTACCAAAGGTCGCAAAATGAAGTACAAAAATAATAGGTCTCTCACATTATATATTGCCCAACTGCCTTATATTATATGACACAATGAACACATATTAAATGTTATCCAAACAAAACACAAAAGAAAAGAAAAGAAAAATTAAAAAATTGAAGAAGAAGAAAAGAAAAAAAGAGAGGAAGAGGGGATATAAAGCCAAAGAAGATAGAAGAAAGAGGCCGGCCAGGGCCAGGCTAGTCAAAGTCATCTCCCGTGTGGTATATGAGAATACAAGAGGAATTAATGGAGGATTAGAGGGACTGTTTCATGGGCATGAGAAAACCATGTGATCCAATTGCTCCTATAATTAAGACAGATTAAGACACCTCCCCTAGCTATAAAAATCACAGAATTTATGCTTGCGTCCATTTTTTCACAAAATTATCCTCTGTTAATTACTTGCCAAGGCCAGCTGGATTTGACCAAAATATGGGCTCTCACAGGGGTATAATTGTCTTTTCAAAGTGCAGGAGTACTTCTTCCCCCTAGTTAACAAAATTTATTAGGTTCCATGTTCATTAATTTATTAGGTCTTGTTCATTTCTCTCTCTCTCTCTCTCCTATTTAATCCATGCTGAAAAGCAGTCTTACTTCCCATCAAATACACACAACTAGGAAGAGTGAAGTAGCTAGTACAATATTTTATCTTAGCTGCTCCTTCTTCATGGTCATGGCCAAAACTCAGATCCTAATAATCTTTGTTTTGCTTCTGATTGGGCTGTTTACTGGAAGCCATGGAATTGTAGTAGCAAATGAAGAAGAAGAAGCAGATAGGATTGTGGGGCTCCCTGGACAACCCAAGGTCTCTTTTCAGCAGTTTTCTGGATATGTCACTGTAAATCACCATGTTGGCAGGGCCCTCTTTTACTGGCTCACTGAGGCTGCTCATGATCCCTTGTCACAACCTCTTGTTGTTTGGCTCAACGGAGGTTAGCAACCACATTCTAACTTTACTTCATATATACATGACGTCCAGACGTCCGCATAGCAGAGTTTCTATGCAAAATCAGAATATTTGTGTTTGTTGGGTTTACATTGTTCTTGAAGGGGGTTTGAAAAGTTAATATTTACTCACTGTTATATTGCTTCAAGTGATATGTATTTGCAGCATATTTACTCTTTTGGTAGGTTATCTATGCTTTAAATGTCCATGGACAGGGAATATGGTTGCCGACATGATGAGAAAATTATATGTGTATGTAGAAAATTTATGAACATGCTTAGTTTTACAAGTAAATATTGTTTATGCATTCTGGCATCTATGTACCCTTTTTTTTTCATTTAGTTTCAGTTTCTTCTTTTCTGTTCTGATTCTGAATCAAAACCCAGGCCCCCTTAGGTGTGCCTTCAATTTTTATACACAGAAATGAACAAAAAGAAGGAAATTTTTAAACAGGGAGAGCCCACTATCAGGGCCTACCCAATGACAAGAAATGATGATCTAACTACCAATATTATATGTAAGCTACCAATATTACAAGAAAGTACACAACTCCAATAACAGATGAAGAGAAAAAAAGGAAACCCATAATTCTCTCTCTCTCTCTCTGTCTCTCTCTCTGAAATTGAATTGCATGGAGTATACAGACAAAGGAGCCATTAATGCTTTGAGAGCAACCAAAGACAAACTTCAATTATTAAGCCGTAGCCATTTGCACCAATTGTCAGTATCTACCATCCATGGCATCATTCATGACCAGTTGTTAAGTTTAGCAGAAGAAAAGCTGGAGAGCTAGGCATGCCTGGCATGGCTTAAAGACAAACCCCATTTGGCCCCATATACTTTTTTTTCAACTTTAAATTTCTATATTTTATTTTATTTTAATAGTGCAATATGTTTAATTAGGTCTAATTAAAATGTTTATTTTTTTATACAGGCCCTGGTTGCTCTTCTGTGGCATATGGTGCATCGGAAGAGATAGGACCCTTTAGAATAAACAAGAGTGCTTCGGGGCTATACTTGAACAAGTTCTCATGGAACTCTGTGGCCAATCTCTTGTTCCTGGAAACCCCAGCTGGCGTCGGCTTCTCCTACAGCAACCGCTCCTCTGATCTCTTTGACACCGGTGACGGCCGCACCGGTAATTTATTCTTAATTAACCATTTACTTCTTACAGTCATTAATTAATTAATCACTACAAAAAAAATGGCAACAATTACCATTTTGTCACCGGATTTGGTGACTGTCGTGGTAATTACTAAAGGCTTTAGTCACATTTTTTGACTTTTTTGGTAATTGAAAAGGCTTTCAGTCAACTTTTTTGCCTTTTTTAGTGACTAAAGCATTTAGTAATCCCCACAACAGTCACCAAATTTAGTGACAAAATGGTAACTGTTGCAAAAAAAAAATTTGTAGTGAGTTATTATTATACATTATTAAATTTTAAGCACGAGTGTTTTTATTTTTATTTTAAAAAAAACTTTATTGATAAAACGAAGAATTACAATGGAGGACAACACGCCTAACTCCGACTCAACAAATCACATAATAGGGTGCTTATGATTATTCAATGAGTGCTACAAATACTGATCACGACTAGCTAACTGCCGTATTGATTGTTTAAATGATTTTATGGTCCAAAGTCATGACAAGTGATTAAATTATTGCCTTGTTTTTGTTATTGGATACAAATTGCCATGATTAATTAAGGAGATGACATAACATAATTTTGGCTGGTCATGACCAGTTTGACCCTTTGACTCGATTATTAAAATAAATTTCAATTACCATGGTTTATCCATTTTTATTTTTTTTTTGGCCTACAATTTAATTATGGGGTGTACGGAAACTAATTAAGGGGGTGTTTTGATTCAGCAAGAGACTCATTGCAATTCTTGATCCGATGGTTGGATCGATTCCCACGATACAAGGGCCGAGAAGTATATCTTACAGGCGAGAGCTATGCTGGCCATTATGTCCCTCAGCTGGCCAAAGCAATTTTGACCTACAATTCACAATCCAAGCACCCAATCAATCTTAAGGGAATCATGGTAATTATAAAATCATTTATATGTTATATATATACATGAAATGAAACGTTACTTTATGGTACAAGCTGCTATGATATACGAAAACACATCTAGTATCGGTTCACAAATAAGTGAGCAAGGTTAAAAATGTTCGTATTTCATACGAGTTTGTATCATATAATGTTTCATATTACCTTAATAGTGTAGGCATCAAAGTAATTGACATAAAATGCAGGTGGGTAATGCAGTGACAGACAACTACTATGATAACCTAGGGACGGTGACATACTGGTGGAGCCATGCCATGATCTCTGATAAAACCTACCGGCAGCTGATCAACACGTGCGATTTTCGCAGGCAGAAGAACTCCGATCAATGCGAATCGTTGTATAGCTACGCCATGGATAAGGAGTTTGGAAACATAGACCAGTACAACATTTACGCACCCCCTTGCAACAACTCTGATGGAAGCACTTCTACAAGGCAGAGTAGCATGCGTCTGCCTCATCGACCGGTATACTAATAACTAATACTTCGTTAAGTATCTTCAATTTGTAAGTAAAAAGAATGTAACCTTATTTTAATCAGTGTTTTACTTTTGGATTTTAGATGTTCCGGCAACTATCTGGCTATGATCCATGTACGGAGAAATATGCTGAAGTTTATTACAACAGGCCAGATGTGCAGAAAGCTCTCCATGCCAACATAACCAGAATTCCTTACAAGTGGACTGCTTGCAGGTGATCAATGCAAAACGCAACATTTTTATTTCTTATTTTTGAGGTGGAGGGGGGGCTCAAGTTTTTCTTAGTTAACATGATTTCTGATATTTGATGATATGCATTGCAGTGAGGTTTTAAATCGAAATTGGAACGACACAGATATATCGGTTCTTCCTATTTACAGGGACATGATAGCTGCTGGTTTGAGGATTTGGGTTTTCAGGTATAATTAACTTATATATATATATATATAATTAATGTTAATGTTAACAATCAAACTCTGTTCCCATGTGATATTTAATTCATGTTCATGATTTCTTGAACTGATATATATGTGCAGTGGAGATGTGGATTCAGTGGTGCCAGTTACAGCCACTAGGTACTCCCTTGCACAGCTCAAATTAGCAACCAAAATTCCATGGTACCCCTGGTATACTAAAAAGCAGGTCAGTGAGATAAATCCCAATCCAACATATATATAAACATTTTTTTTCATGAATTATTATTTTGCATTGTGAAATGAATTTATGATATATTGATTGTGAAGGTGGGAGGGTGGACAGAGGTGTATGAAGGGCTGACATTTGCAACAGTGAGAGGAGCAGGTCATGAAGTCCCACTTTTCAAGCCAAGAGAAGCTCTTCAGCTGTTCAAATCATTCATTCAAGGGAAGCCCCTTCCAAAGTCCTCATGATAACTGAAAACCAAAAAGAAAAGGAACAAAAAAAAAAAGAAGAGAGAAATATAAAGACAGGAAAAGGAAAAAATTTCCTTGCCATTTTAATACCAGAGTCTTCTGAATTATTGTTATTGTTCTAACTAGACAAGAAAATGTGTTACTAGTGTTGAGAAACAAGTAGAGCTAGAGTTTGATTGTGTTTTAGGATGTTAGGCAAATGGCCTGAGATGAAGAAGGTTTAGTTTGTATTTTGTGGGATAACCCATCATCTAGTTTGGCTTTCGCTAGACCAAGTGTAGAAACTCCATTGGCCAGTGTTTCTTATTCCAAGAGTGAGTGAAGTGATGATTGAAATGTTTTCATTTATTATTTTTTAAAAATTTTATTAAAAAGAGAAAGGAGATATTGAGAGAGCCGATTTCTTTTGTTGGGTCTCGGATTAAGTGCTCTATCACAGAAGCTATAAACTCTCATTTGGTTGAAATGTTTTAACAGAGGACAAACATGAGCTCATAAGTAATCTTATGCTAATTACTGATCCAAATGCATATCTACTCGACCTAGTTTCTTTGAAAGGCAAACTTGATGAGGGCCTTTTGCAACGACGTATCAAGGCCCAGTGGAAAAGTAGTTCCTTTTTGGAGCTTCTTTTGTATTTCTAAAACGTGTCTTTGGTGGAACAATATAAATTCATGAACTTGGAGGTTGACTTTGACAAACCATGATCCCATTGTTAGTTTGTTTTGAGAGGAAAATGACCTCTTTCTACAAAAACAACATTGAATAAAAAAAAGTAAAGAAAGAAGAAGATATTTTGTTTGAGGAATAAAAAATTTCAATGAAGACGATGACAATGGTGAAAATGATAGCAAGTGAAGGTAGCAATGGGGTGGAGGAGACAACAGCAGATGGCTGTAGTCAATATATTCACGGTCAGGAATCAGGATAAGCTTTCTTTGTTTTTATCTTTTCCTCTTATCGAAAATGACTTCCCAAAATAAGAATTTAGAAGTGATGGTTAAATTTTTGACACCTTTTCTCTTTTAATTTCCGTTTAAACTCTAAACAACCCAATGTATCCTACCAAATCACTATCAATTTGGTGTTGAAGAATACTTAACAAATTATTAATAATATATCTGATATTTATTTCAGTGATATTCGGGAATGAAATATTCAAACACATAACCTCGACTGCAAACGCTTTTAACCAAGCTACAAGCTCATTACTTAACATATTTTGAAGAGTGGACATACCTGGTTTTCTTCAAACACAAGAAGGTGTGTGTAATTTTTGAAAATAAAATCGAAAGATGTGAAGGACGGTTGTAGTTATGAATATTGTACACATGAGGAGTGGAGAGAGAGAGAGAGAGAAACCACTATGGTAAGGGAAGGGTAACACAATATTATACTTTATCTTTTTGGAAAATAAAAATAAATATTATATTTGCAAGAGTGTTTTAAATAATACCATATATTACGTCACATATTCCGTTCTAAGATACGTAGTGTATATAATATAACTTTGTAAGCATCGTAGTCTGCATAACTAAGGTAAGTTGGGCAGTAGACTCGAACCGAGGAGAAGGTCAAACCCGCGAGGCTAAATTATGCAAGAAAAGAATTAAAAAATTAAAGTCCAGAAAAGTTTCCTTAAATTGAGCCCCAGAGTCATAGCCGAGAAAGTTGGTTTCTTTTTCCTGTCCAGCCCCTCATCATAACTGTTCATTTTGACTGCTTTCACTGGCGGGTAGATCTTGCTTGAATTGAAGTCTGTTGTTTTCTTTGTTTCGAGATTGTTATTTCTCCAGCTTCATTTGAACACTGTTCATGCGATTTTTGAAGCAGAAAATTTGTCTGTGTTAGCGTTTTGATTTGGAGCTTCTGGGTCTCTTTGATCTCCTGTTTGTATGTGTTGCAACCTGCAAAAGTTTGAAGACTGCGAAGAGGTAGGCTTTTTTCTTTGTATTATTGCCTTGTGTAGTACATCTTTTCTATTCAACTTTGGGTTGCTTTGCTTTGCTTTACCTAATTGTTTATAGTGATTGCCACTCACGACCAACTTTTAAAAAGATTGGTTTTTTTCCTCCTTATTTGACAATAAAAAGATTGGTCTTTTGCTTCATCATTGACAGGACTTTTCTTATCTCCTCGATCCGCTTTTGGCTTCCCACTTCATTTTAGCGACTATTCATAGGTGTTCTGTGTTGGGTCTTCGCCAGTTTTCAACATAAACTACTTCATTGGATACAAAAGCATTGATTTTGGTTTGTGCCAGCAAGACGGTATTGTTTACTTTTCTGATTTTTGGAAATTGGAGGTTTCGGTTCAATTGCCAAAGGTTTTCAGTTCTTGCCGTTGATTTGAAAAGGTTTTAGTTAGACTTGTTGGTCTCCATTTTTGCTCTGCTTCTTGTATGTCTATGGGGGATTGCAAGTCTATGCGTCCGGAAATGGAAGGAGAAGACGACTTAATTGCTGCAGCGAGAAACATAGCGAGGGCATTGGGATCAAAGAAGAACCTTACAGATGGTGAAAGGGAAATTTTGGCAAATCTTGGCGCCCAATTGTCCACCATGATCTCACTCAGTGAGAAAAAGGGTGAGAAAATTGGTGATATTGAAGATCGTCTTAATTCTATCCAGGAAAGGATCATGAGTTGGGAGGCAGATCAGTCTATGATATGGGATTCAGGCCCAAATGAGTCTCTGGAGTATGTCAAAGCTGTGGAGGAGGCTCGAAGGTTTGTCGAAAGGTTAGAGGGTTTGTGTTTGAATAAAGATGATCAAGAGTATGAGGTGCTACAGAAAGCTCATGATGTTCTTCAAACAGCTATGGCTAGGCTGGAGGAAGAGTTCAAATACATGCTTGTTCAGAACTGGCAACCCTTTGAACCGGAGCACATGTCTTTCCGTTCAAGTGAAGAGGATATTGTGGATGGCAGCTCAATAATCTCTTTTGGGGATGATTCATTTGAGGACTCACTTCATAGAGATAGTGTTAGCAGAGCATCTGAGGAAGTCGTCATTGATTTGGTTCATCCAGATGTAGTTCCTGAGCTCAGAGGCATAGCAAATTTGATGTTCAATTCCAAATATGATCAGGAATGTATCCAAGCTTATACTAGCATCCGAAGGGATGCCTTGGATGAGTGCCTCTCCATTCTTGAAGTCCAGAAACTGAGCATTGAGGACGTGCTGAAGATGGAGTGGGGTTGCTTGAATTCCAAAATCAGAAGATGGGTCTGGGTTATGAAGATCTTTGTGCGGGTTTATCTTCCTAGCGAGAGATGGCTTGGTGATCAGATTTTTGGGGAGCTTGGACCAGTTTATTTAGATTGTTTTGTTGAGGCATCAAAGCCTTCAATGCTGCAACTTATGAATTTTGGTGAAGCCATGTCTATTGGTCCCCACCAACCAGAAAAGTTGTTCCGCATTCTTGACATGTATGAGGTGCTAGCGGATCTTCTTCCTGATATAGATGGTTTATACATGGATGAGGCTGGTTCTTCTGTAAGAATTGAGTGTCATGAGGTTCTGATGAGATTGGGTGATTCCGTGAAGGCAACATTTAGTGAATTCAAGAATGCCATTGCATCAAACACCTCGACTAACCCTGTTGCTGGAGGAGGAATACACCCTCTCACCAGATATGTGATGAACTACTTGAGGACTCTTACAGACTATGGCGAGACCCTTAATGTGCTCCTTGATGACTGCGATGAAGGTGATTCCATTTCACAGTCTCCTGATACGAGTCCAACCACAGAAGAGGAGAACAAAAGCACTGATACTTTGGGCAGAATTTCCCCAATGCTTCGCCACTACCGGTCACTTGTTTCAACTCTGGAGTGCAACCTTGATGACAAGTCCAAATTATATAAGGATGCTTCCTTGCAACACATATTTTTGATGAACAATCTGCATTACATGGCTCAGAAGGTTAAGGGGGATGAACTGAGGCTCCTTTTTGGAGATGGGTGGATTAGGAAGTGCAATGGGAAATTTCAACAGCATGCAATGAACTACCAGAGAGCTAGTTGGAGTTCCATTCTTTCTTTGCTGAAAGAGGAAGGCATTCAAAATCCTGGTTCAAATTCCATCTCTAAAACCCTCCTTAAGGAAAGGCTCCGCAGCTTTTATCTTGCTTTCGAGGAGATTTACAAGAGCCAAACAACATGGTTGATTCCGGATCTTCAGCTTCGGGAAGATGTGCAAATCTCGACATCTCTGAATGTAGTCCAAGCTTACAGGACATTCGTGGGAAGACATTCCAACGACATAAGTGACAAGCTCATCAAGTACACTGCTGATGATTTGCAGAATTACCTTTTGGATCTCTTTGAGGGATCCTCAAAATCATTACAGAATTCCAGCAGAAGGTGACACCAGAATAGATAAAACTGTCAATGTTTATTATTTACGACGGAGGGAAAGCGTTTATTTAATGTTCCCCTTTGCTCATGTATGTTTTGATTGTTAAACAGGTTAGGATCCCCCATGAAATTGAAAGGGGTTCTCCCCCTCCGTAGTTTCGTGTGTGTAATGTAATATGATGAAGTAGGTTCATTTTTTATGATCCCTGTAGTCCATGTGGTAACTGATATATGTATTGGATGCTAGCGGAACTTCATATGGAACTTTATGTGCTTTGACTAAATCTGTTTCTCTTCTTCTTTTAAGTAATTGAGATTGTCAAATTTGAGACTCTGGTAAAGTCCACCAGGATAGCATGTAAGAAGATCTAGCGCCAAATAGTCAATATAAAGTCAAAAGACCCAGAACGCGGCTATGGTTATGATGTACTATCCAGAAAGTTGAGGCCAACAATAAGCGGTCTGATTATTGAGCAGCAGAATTGTCAAAACAGAGTTGCAAGCAAGCATGTGGTCATAATGCATTGAGACTTCAAGGCAATGGGGGCTGCATTTCATTTCATTTCCTGTCCAGCTCAACAGGAATTTGGCCATTGATATTTTCATGTGGGCCCCTGGAAAAGTGTGCTTTTGTTTGGAAATGTCATCAATGTGAAGGCAGTGGTAGGAGACATTAATGGAGACACTGAATAGGGAGCCGCCTTGTCTGTGATTCTGTGGCTGAGAAGAGCCCCTTCAGAGCAGGCTGAGTCGGGCCTGTCAAGCCCCCATACAAGTGGCCTTGAACAAGTATTGTGCATCATTGCATGACCTAGTAAAATCCACTGATTTCTTTTTTCTTGTTCAACTTCATTTATTTTCCAACATGTTGATCAATTCTGCAATGACCTCTCCCATCATGAAAATAACATTCAATTTTTCAGTGGGGTTTCTTTTAATGACATGTACCTTCTTATTCATTTTTCTTTTATAAACTATTTTATTCACTACGGAAATTTAGAAGTTAATCGACAACTCAGCGGATTGAGTAACCACAGTAATAGTATTAACTCATCTAATGAAGAAAAACAGCTTCAAGTCTTCAACTGGATGGAAATTCATAGAAATGGATTAAGTTAACGAGAAATACAAAAGCAAAGAAAATTCATCACGAACGCCTTGTGGATACATAATACACAACTTCGATCTTACTGATTCCTATATAACCTTTGGCAGTGAATATACTCACAAGCTGACAATCTAATGAAACTAACCCTTAAACCAAAACACAGAAACACTACTACGAATCTACACCTGTACTTGATACAACATAGCTCATCCCTTCATTCTCTAGGATGCCCAATGACAGCCAAGAGCAACAGATCTTGAATTTCCGAAAATGTAAAACAGCAAAAATCCACTGCACTGCCTTTAGCTTTCTCATGACACCAATATTCCACCACATGGAGCTGGATGAATCCATTCATTTGCACGTATTAGAGAAATTCCCATCAGGAACCATTAGTTTGTCGCGAACAATTGACCAGCTTATGCTAACTGAAAACTCATAATGCCCAGAAAGGCTTTCGAGCTGTCACCGCACCAGAATTGCTTGTGGGTAATTCTTCTTTAGTTTCCTCAGAGTCATCATCATCCTCACCATATTCCATTAGCCTGACCAAAGTATCTGAGATAGCCAAAGTTCAGAAATATTTATACTTTTTTTTTGTCAGACATTCATACATCATTGGTATACAATCACAAACGAAATTACAGATATGGAAGGAGAACAAACAATATACCATTTTCCAACTCCCCACCCCCCAAAAACACACATGCAAATAACCTTTCTAGTCTTCCCGTCAAAATTAGCACACACCGGAAAGAGAAAAACAAGCAGAGCAGGTCTTCAAGCTTACCAGGGACATCATCAGATTTTGTTTTGGTCAGAACGTGTGCTGATGAGGTGAATTTTGGTGGAGGCGGCGGCATTGTTCTAGGTAGGGGTGGTGGCATTCCATTTGATGCTGGCTGGACCAATTTCTTTGGAGCTGGCAGAGTTGATACATTTCTCACACCCAAATCTGCCAACAGTTCATTTGGCTTTGACATTTCCAGTTCCTGCATTCAGTTGGGGAAAAAAGAAACCAAAAGGAAAAACTAACAGCTCAATAACCATAAAATGGAGGTGTTATGTAATAAAGTTGATTAATAACCTAAAGATTAAATACTGATATCTGCAACTGCGAAAATTAATTTATCAAAACAATAAAATTCATATAGGCACAAAGTTACGACACTCTATAAAGGACATACTTAAGTTAGTAGAGACAATGGATTTCATATCATCAAGCAAGTCTAGCATCTAGCATGTCTTTCAAGGATATGGCCAAGTTCATAAAGGTATACAACAAATAGAAGGAAGTGTGAACCGCGTCTTTTAATGACTAGTACACATAAACTTTTGCTTACAGCAGGAGCAATCATAGATCAAATTCCACTAGTAGCACCCACCAGCATGCACATCCAATTTTCTCACAGCAAGAGGTTCAACCATCAATACCAAAGCTATTTTTATGTCAATACAACTGCCATAAAGTATCAGTAGCTGAGATTTTGCATAACTCTTTACTCATTAAAATGATGGAGTGTTCATGAGATGCACGTGAAGTTGGCATTGGTCATGATGGTACCTCTTCTCTGGGAGTTTTGGCTGTGCATGCTGCTGGTGACAGCCCAAGAAGGAAACACTAAGAAATGAAGAACTCCAACACCGGATTGATTTATCACAAACTGATAACCAACAGAAAACAAAATATATTATTGTAACTTGACCTAAGTATATAACATTAAACTAAACTGCATGAAATCTAGGTTGTAGGTGGAATATAGCTCCAAAGCCACAAGTGAACCCCAATGGCGCCTCCAAGATTGAAAACCCTGTGAAAAATACAAACTAGTGGCCCAATAGAGAGGTCCAGTATTGGCATGTTAGCCTCATAGAAGGTCAGAGAAAATACCTGGAATAGCAAGCACTGCAAGTCAGTACAAGATTCAATTACATTACAGTGATGACAAAAGACCAATTCAAAGTAAAAATCGAACATTTAGCAACATCATCCATCTACCTAAATGATCATGTTGGTGCTGAAGAAAATTCAAAGTTTAGACTTAAAAGTATATATATATATATATATATATGCATGCAGAAAAAAAAGAAAAAAAAGGTATGGCCATATCTGGTATCTTAGTTGATGGGAAGTTTACCCAAAGACAACAGTAATGTCAAGAAAATTAGTCTCTCCCAAGTCCAAGCTATATGGACAGTTAACTAGCTAATCAAGCTATCTTAGCTTGACTTGGCATTTGCAAGGTCAACCGAGACTTAGCAGTATTTGTGGTTATAACCCAAACATACTAACTGAACAATATATAAAGGATAGAACAATAAAGCAGGACCAACTGGTCTTTGTGGATCAACAACCAGGGAGCATGCAATGGTACCTGATGGACTGTTGCAGGACCAACTGGTAACTCCTGAAACTTCCGCCTCTGTGACTGTGGAGGTCGTTTCTCCTTCTCAGAACCAGAAGTGGAGTTAACATTCAACTTTGGTTCAGTGCTTGGCGCTGATGTTGTGGGAGCAACTGTAGAAGGGATAGGGGATGACTGTCTAAGGGCAAGAGCAACTTGTTGCAAAGGTGTGACTTGAGGATATATCCCACCGTATCCATTGTAGCTTGTTCCATTAGATAATAGAGGTAGAGGTTGGGGAAAACCACCAATGTTTGCCTGAGATTGAACAGAGTTTAACAACCCTCCAGGTTGAGATATTGCCCCTTGAGAGAAGACAGTAGCGACCACAGGGTTTCCAACAGAGGAAACTGCCGGAGCTGGTGTAGCACCCACAGTTGGAGACGACAAACTTGTAATTGTTTTTACCTCATTTCCAGAACTCTGAACTCCAGCCAACAACTGATGCGGTGGTGGAACAGCACTATATACCTGCTGTGGGGGTGGAACAGCACTATAAACCTTAGATGATGAAACCCTATGACAGAAAATGGCAACAAGTTATCTACCATACCTAATTACAAGCTACAGCACAAACCATAAAAGCTAATGGAAACCATATTTTCATGCATTGAGCAGAACCAGCAGAATACCAAACTCAAAGTTGCTGCCATTGCAGATTTAAATTCAACAAGTTGGGTGAAACAAATAGTTATTACCAAGGGCAGCTGAAACATGATTATCTCCAATTGATTAAAGGGTACTGATTTTCCCACTCCCTTTTTATCCACTTACACTCCATTTTTCTAAACAAAAAGGAGTGTAGGTGGATAAAAGGGGAGTGGGAAAATCATTTTCCTTGATTAAATGATGAAAGGTTTGGGAACACAAGTAAATAACATGTTTAATTTTCCCGAAATGAATGTAAAACCAAGAACAGAGAGAAAATCCCTCGTCATATTTTGCCAGAAGTTAGAACACTTCTAGCCATGCAATGCCTCAGAACAATTGAAAATCTAATTACCTGGAGACACCACACTCTACACTGATTGTATCCAAAAGATTTTCAGCCAGAAGTTTAGCATCTTCAAGATTTTTTGAATTATTACTTGACAAGAATAAATGCAATGGTAGCTGTCCTTCTGCAAGCGAAATAAGTGAAAATAGGTAACAATAGCCAACAAAATATCAGTATGCTGGAGTAAGAAGCTTGCAATAAGATCATACTGCATACAAAAGGTGATACCTTCGCCATTTACACTCTCAAGATTTCCTGAACCACGCCCTCTGAGTGACACAGTTGCTCCTGTTTCATTCATAATGTGATTTATATACTGGTCCTGCATGTACCAAACCAAACCACCACCAACACAAAAACAATTTCTCCCAATTGTATGGAGATGTCAGAGAAAGCTTCAAACATTAGAATCTCTTATCTTCATTATGTGCAAAATAAACTGCTTAAAAAGAAACAAATCAACCCTCTTACGAGCATAAAGATTTTATATAGTAAGCGCATATGACAATTAAAGCAATGTCAACATGATACTATATGATACAGATGAAATGAACACTGGCTAACATAGAGTTGTAGAACTCATGGAGAAGGGGGGTGGAGGAAGAGATGAGATGGAAAGAGAGGTTGAAAATTATTAACTTGACTACAAGGGACACTGCTAAATCCTAAATCCATAATTTCTTTTACTGATAAGACAGGTGGAAGAGGGGAGGAAAAAAAACTAACTCACATTTGGCCCACGTATACGAGCAGCAATGTTCCATGACGGATCTGCGTCAAAGCCCAAATACACACAAGTGTTCGGTGCCTGAGTAACCAGATTCAATATGAGAATTTCTGCAATCAATTGTCCATACCATAAAAAAGTTGACATTTAATGGAATCATACCGTCAATCCGTTGCTCATAGTCGGATTCTGACCCTGTTTCAGCATTTCTTCAACCATGGCAGCTGCACGGTCAACTGCTAAAATCCGTTCTGCTGTCTCTTTTAACTGGAAAGCCATGATTATGAAGAAACCAAATCCAAATTCCACCATGAATTTTTTTTATTAAAGATGGACACTTTGACAGACGGGGTACTTTTAGAAAATGCAATATGGCCCAGTTTACTATACTAATGATTGTTGTTGAACTATCTAATCTTGACAATCGACATCAATGAGATAAGTTTAAAATAGCTTCCATATGATGATGATACATATTTTAAGAAAAAACTATCTAATCATGGGTGGACAAAAGAAATTCTCACCAAATCTATTGCACACTTTCATTATCAAACATAAGACATCCATAACAGTCAGATTAACTGAGAAGATTTTCAATACAACTTATGCTCCAAAAATAAAGCTAATTTACTTACATTAGCCCCTGCAGAAATATGAAGATATAATGGCTTTTCACCATCAGTTGATGCATTTGGTGGACGATACTTGCCCCTGTAAAGGCAATTTAGTATACGCATTACACATATGACGCATGAGCTAAAAAAGAAACAACTATAAATGCACCTAGTACTGCCATTGAAAGCCAACCAACCTTGTTATCACCACAGCACCAGTGCATCTTTGGATCTGCAAGTAATATACACCATCAACCTCAAACAAAAGAACCATCCATTACAAACTAAAAGTAAATTAAGTCACTATATTTTCTTTTGAAGAAAAAAAAATACACCTCCTCCTGTGTTTGGCGTTTTGTCAGCTTGTAACGAACAAGAGACTCTGCATCGTTGATAACAATTTCTCGGGCTATTAACTCATCTTGGATCTTTGGCTACAAATCATTGAGCAAAACAAACAAGAAATTTGAAACAAATCAATTGCAACATCAACTGGAATACAAGAAAGAAAATAACAATTAGTGCATAAGTGGATCCTATATGAAAAACAATATCCCAAAATAATGAATTATGATTGGATGGCGGATGTTTCAATTTATGCAAGCTCCAAATCTTCATGTGCGCAACATAAACTAAATGCAGCAAAATTCAAGCAAAATAGATCTTTTAAAGCTGTGAAAAGTGAATAGCCAATACCCAAAAGGTAACTCACTTGAATTAATTTTTGGATGACCGTGGCAGTCTGTTGCGGTATCAGAGGTACCTGATACACCTGAGGGATGGTAGGACAGCTAGCCTCAAATGGATTCATCAGATGAGCACCAGTCACTGGAGTTACGCCAGGAACTGTAATCCCACCAAGCAACCCCGCATTTCCCAATGGGAAAGCCCCAGGCACTGCTAAACCAGCTGAAACCAAGGATGCTGCAGGTTGATCCCACTTTCTTTTCTTCCTGTAGAAAGTGCTAAAGGTTAGCAAATTTTGGTGGACCACATGATTTGAAATACAAATGAACAGTGGCATGCACAAGCTCAAGCTCGCCCTAATCACAATTCCCAGAATTAGATATCTTAAACTAAATAATAAAACTAAACGATCCTCACAAACTTTTTCTTGGGCAATCAAGATCATGGTTCAGACAACACTACTGGCCGCAGAACTTTAACAGTAAGCCAAGTCCTCATGTCCAAACTATTTCAAGTAATGAACGTCAGTTTATATACTTCCATCTTTAAACATCCAATTCAAACACTGTTTAACAAAAGGGGGCCACATTTCAACCCTCATCCCCACCAACGTCTTGCAAATTGGAAAGAAATTGATAGTCGAACTATCATGATGCAGAGCTCACACAAAGCAATAACAAAATTGAAAATATGTAAAAACTCCCAAGAAAAAGAAGAAACCCTCTAAAACCCTTCCCATGCATCCAGCATAAGAGCAAACAACCACAACCCTCAACCATGTTATTACAGTCGTTAAACAAAAACATAGTGAATTAAATTTTGAAACATAAGAAGAAAATCCAGTGAAAAAATTACAAGGTCGTAATTGAAAGATATGAAATTTAAATTTGTCAAATGAATTAGGGTTTTAGTCGAATGAGAGGGACGGTACCTTTGCCTTGTTTGTGAGGCATCATTGGGCACATCGGAGGAAACCTTAGCGCCATTATCTTCTGTCATCGCTGATTTCTGTTCACCTTTTTTTCGCAGAGAGATTACCCAATATCAATCTTGGTTCTTTTTTCTGTTTTTGTTCTGATTTCTTGGTTCTGTTTAGTTTCTAGAATTTTTGGTTTCTTTTCTTTTTCGTCTCTTTTTCATAAAATCTGACCTCAAGTATTTTATATTCAACTTCATATAATATTCTCCGGTGTGAAGCCGAAGCCCAACGGCACATAAAGGCCCTGAAAAAAGGCCCAATAAAATAGACAATAAACTTAGCCCAGAACTCTTTACGGTTCAGGTCTTCCTCCTCGTATATTATATTAATTTAAAGTACTTTAGATTATTGTTTGTATCGAAAAATTATGATTTCAGTGAATAATCTGCAAACGTTACATTGTGCATTGTGCGTTGTTTCTTTCTTGGACAGTTGGACTATAGCCCTCTATTTAGATAAAGGAAAATAACTTGGAATTTGGCTAAAAACTTGGAATTTGGCTAAAAGTCAACAATTTAAAAGGAGAAATTGACAAATCCCTTATTTGACAACTTAAGTGCGAAATTTATCATATAACAGGGGAAAAAATTGTAGATATTGAGGCATCAAATTCCTGTGTTTAATTTCCACCAAAATAAACGTCATTTCAAAAAATTTATAGTGTCAATTATACAATTCGACATATAAACCCAAACATTGAAATTTTTAATTATCAAAAATTGAAATAATGGAAATTTAAATTCCGTAATTTTTAGAATTCTATGTATTCCTTCATACAAACGGAATGCAGCTGTCTACAAGAAAGTCATCATTCAGTGTGCTCTTTATTCAAACAACGCACACGTGACCAACAACGAACATAAACTAACTGTAGCTTTCGAGTAAACGATAAAAGGTCATAATGATAATTCCATGTGGCAGATTTTTACTGAAACTAAGGTAATTTCTCCAAATTATTATTATTTTTTAAAATAAAAGTTTTTCACCTGAAATTTTACAATGAGCATTGAGCACCATTTCAAAGTACTTATTTGCAACACTGAAAATAGTTTGAGTTAACTATAGCTGACCCTAACTATGAATGTTATTCATTTATTTCTTTAATGTACTTACAATTGCAGATTGGATCCTCTGAAAGTTTTATTATGAGTAGTTGTGTGAAACCTCAAAAACAAAGTGAGATCAATCCAGTGGTTCTCCTTCATTCCTTTGACAGGTTCATTTTAATCCTTGCAAATTGCAAATTGACCATTACATTGTGATGTCCTACTGAACATGTTTCATGTTTGCACCTGTTAGTTCTTGTTTAGAGTGGAGGTGCGCATACCCCCTGCTTGAAGAAGCTGGTTTGGAGGCTTGGGCTGTTGATGTTCTTGGGTGGGGATTCTCTGATTTAGGTTCATTCACCTGTCTTTTCCTCTTTGTTATTTGGTCTGGATTGGACTTTTTTTCTTTTTCCTATCTCTCTTTTGCAACAAATGCTTCATTGTTCATCCGTTTAATCATTCTTTATCGGTACTAGAAAGGCGCCCACCATGCAGTGCTGCATCCAAGCGTCATCATCTCTATCAGGTATCCATCATGTACTGTGGTTTTCTTCTTCTTTACTCTCTTCTTTTATCCAGAGAACGTTGTTTCTGTCTTTAAGTTATGCCCTTGGTGAAAAATGCTGTTTGTTTGTTTCTATATAGCATGTGATGTAATAATATCTTTGGTTGGCAACTCAGCTAGAAAGTTGTCTACAATGGATTGGATATTTTGCTATGTTAATTACTTAGTTGGCATTGGATTAAAACTTTTATCATCTGTTGTCAAAATTGAAATCTAATGTTATTATTTGAGCTCAAAGATATAACTTGTTTTGACATTTCAAATATAGTTTTGGAAGTCCTACATCAGAAGGCCAATGATATTAGTTGGACCAAGCCTTGGTGCTTCGGTTGCAATTGACTTTGCAGTCCACTATCCAGTAGCTGTAAGTAACTCTTACTTTGAGCTCATTAGCTCTACATTCATTGTTTAAGAAATTATTTAGTGTGCTTTTCATGGATTAATTTTCAAGTTCAGATCATTTTAGTGGTTCTATCATAAACTCCAATATAAGTTGACGCCGGAGTTCTATTTAAAAGCTATATATAGACTATAGCATTTTGGATAAACTTACAATAAAAGGTTTGGAATTTTTTTAAGCCTTCTGCAAAGTGTAAACCTGTGATTCTTAATAAATAAATCAAGGAACATTCGATGCAGAAAAACCTCTGTGGTTTGAAATTGAGTGGATTTGAAAAACTGTGATCTGAGTATTGACATAATTGAGTTGACCATCATTTCCTGAACAAATACTAAAACTTATATACCTGCATGTATAAGATAATTAGCTAACTTTTAGGAGTTATTGAGGCAACCTCGTCTATCCGTCTGGTGTCTTAACATTGCTGCATTGCACTCTTACTCTGCACCTCCACCCATTAAATTGTTGGCCCTCACTCTTGTTGTTATTTGCCTGATGATGTCTAGCTGATTTTAATTTTCTATTTTACAGGTTGAAAAGCTGGTTTTAATCAATGCAAGTGTGTATGCAGAAGGCACTGGAGACCTGGCAAAGTTACCTAAATTCTTAGCCTATGCTGGGGTGGGTGTCCAAAAATGCTTGAATTTTACTTCTATAATTATATCATCAAACCTGATGATTTCCAAAGGACGATGTTCTATTATTGTGATGTTAAAATATCATTATGTGCATATGATGCGAGGTCATGCGATGTTCGTCAACATTAGGAGGCAGGGAAATCAGATATTTTTCATTGCTTTGTCCTGCCTACTACACCATTATGTCAATCATACATGAAATTTTCTTTTAATGAACTTGCTTAGTGTTATGATTCTGAACTTTTTATTCACCAGGTTTCTTTATTGAAGAGCATCCCTCTACGCCTTTATGCAAATTTGTTGGCCTTCAATGGCATTTCATTAACTACAACCTTTGATTGGACTAATGTGAGTTAATCCTTTTGTTAATTTACTCTTCCAATGGAACAGACATTTAATGTATTTTTTGAAAATTTTATCTTGGCAAATTTGTCTATCTTGTTAAAGTAGGTCTAATGAAAATCTGATAGAGATCCTGCCCTATTCAGGTTGGCCGTTTACACTGTTTGCTGCCTTGGTGGAAAGATGCAACAGTCAGTTTTATGAGTAGTGGAGGCTACAATGTTATTTCCCAAATAAAACAGGTAGACTCGCAACATCTTAATGGATATGGTATAAGTGCAAAACAGAATTCCGTAAGTCCGGATGGGCAATGAGTAGCTTGAAATCCTGTTAATATATGATATCTGGGGGCAACTAAGCTTCTAGGAAGGACATGCAGTCTGAAATCTTATTTTACAGGTGAAGCAAAAAGCACTTGTGATTTGCAGTGAGCAAGATCATATTATCAGCTACAAACAAATATTGGTCAGTTTTGAGCTGCTACTTAACTTCTGTGGTTAGAACTACACTAAGCAGGTCAACACAAATGCATTTTGTAACGAATGGCCTCGGCATGTTTCAAAGTCATTTTAAGATAGGAGACTGAAATTATGCTCTTGATTTTAAAAAGTGCATTAGAGATTTGGTATTATTTGAAGTTTGCAACAGACTTATTTGGCAGTCAATTAAAATAGATTCAAAACTGAACAAGCCTGTTTGAAGTTAATTATTCTGATTTTTAAAAAAAGGTGAATGAGAACTTCAGCCTCCAAATGGGCAATTCATGATAAGCATTTTGCAACCCCTCCTTCCAGTAATTTTCTTTTCTTGCTGTTCTTAGGAGGGCGGCTGAGCTATATTTAATGTTTGCACATTAGTACAAGTAACTCTGAACATTTATTTCAGGCACAATGTTTTATACTTCACCTTGTTGTAATTGAAATGCAGAGGCTACGCTGTGAGCTTCCGTATGCAATCATGCGGCTAATACCAGATAGTGGTCACCTCCCTCATGTTGAAAATCCCACCTCTGTTGCGAAACTAATTGCAGGGTTTGCTCAGAACGATCGTTGCTGAGGACGAGACTGTTGCAGAATTTGTTGGACTTGTCCTCTGCTACTAAGAGGCCTGTTCTCCTTGGCAATAGTGATGTCTTTCTTTGTAACACTTCTTTCCATTTGCAGTGCTTCTGAATTTCAGAGGATGCCACCTCAGAATTAGATTTCTTTTATGTTTGCAATGTGAATCTGAATAACCGATGGAACAGTTAGCCAAAAAATAGGATGATATAAGGAACAATAAATAATTAATATTCCTCTCTCCTTTGGCACTGATTTTTCATGATGTTTGATGCTCTATATGTTTTATCTGGTTTGCTTCTAGGAGTTGGTTTCATTGTATTTTATTTGGCTCATTGGTTCTTTGTGCTTTAATTGTAATAGTACTTTAGGCTGTAGCCCTCCTTATTCAGAGGGCTTGGATGCTTTCGATTCTCTGTAATTGAATTTGTTTATCAATGACTTTTCATCTTTTGAATTGTAATACTAGTTTAGGATGTAACCCTGCAATTGTATTTGTTTATCAATGAATTTTCATCTTTTTCGCAAATTTATTACAAAAAAAAAAAAAAGGTTTACAAGTAATAATCTACTTTGAAAACTAATATAAATTACGGGGAGGGGTATTCGAAATTGAGTGCAGAGTGCGAAGCACATCGGCTCTAACTAACTTGGATAAACTCATGTCTGCCACATACGTTAGTTGTCAAATGATACATTGTATAATTATTTTATTGTTAATATGTGTGTTTTACATTTACATTTTGTTTAGCCAATGACTAAACATTTCCTTAAACATCATTATCAAATCTTATTGCCTAAAAAAAAATAAAAAGAAAAGAAAAAGAAAAAAGAAAAGAAAAAAGAAACAATAGGTTGTAGTGGACCATAAATCCAAAACGGTGCGTTTGGTACGCGACTTCTTTCTTTCAGTTACTAAACCCTAGTTCCTTCCATCCCTTGAATCTTAAACCCTGCTAGCACCTCTCTCTCGTCCTTCTCTTTCACTCAGAGAAACAAGAGATGGACACGGACGGAAATTCAGGAGACGCGTCGAGGGTGGTCCATGTGCGCTTCATCACGAAGCTCGACCGTCCTTTCAAAGTTCCAAATTCCTCCATTTCCGTCGCCTCCAATTTCACCCGATTTGGCCTATCCAGCGTCGTTAACAATCTTATCCAAACAGGTAAGCTCTAACATATTCACACGTAAAGTTTTCCTATTATCCATTGATACTCTGTTTGGCTGCTTAGAAACTGAAGGGAAAAGGATTTTACTTTAGTGTTGTAAGTTTGTTGGTTGCTTGCGATGCTTATTTGGATTTTTTATAATAAAAAATGTGTTTTAATGCTCATTGGTAATTGTGATTAGAGAATCCTGATTGGGAAGTGGAGCCTTTTGATTTTCTTATCAATGGCGAGCTGGTTCGGATGTCGCTTGAAAACTTCCTTCTTGCCAAGGGCATTTCTGCGGTACTTATCTCCCCTTTCTGATTCAATTTGTGATGATTGTAGGAATTGTGTACCCTATGTCCTATATAGGTGTATTTTCTGATAAAATACTATGTAAGCAAAATGGGAAGAAAACAAAAGAGTGCGAAGAGAGAGAATGGTACGTTATTTAATTTATCTTACGAACCAACAAGAGTTGAGCTAATTCGGTAAAGTACTCCAGCAAGCCACATAGTATGAGTTTTACAATTATGTTTTTGGGTATCACAAATCTGCAAAATTGATTTGATGCGATGTTCTTGAACTGAGATTTATTTTTGGTCCATTTTAAATTTGGTGTCAATTCAGAAGGTCCTTCTTTCTAAAACTAGAGTGGAATGAGTCTAGAGTTGCATATGTTGCTTTAACGAGCTGATTTGAGAGAAGTTTTTCCACCATCTTTATTTGATAGCTAACTGTAGGTTTACAACTATTACAGGAAACAATATTGGAAATTGAATACATACGGGCTGTAGTTCCACGCAAAGAAGAAGAACCTTCTTTACATGATGACTGGGTCAGTGCAGTTGATGGTTCTAGTCCCAGGTATCCACATAACATATTGTGATGTGTTCTTCATTTCTTCACAGAAGTCATTCTTAAGTGCTCCTAAGTTTTCCTTGTCATAAACTCTTATCCTGCATGGCTTGGGTTATACCTTCAAATTAAATTTCTTGATCACATGTTGGTAGGTGCAGTATGTAAATGATAATATATCTGTCATTAAGAAAATTTGATGTGAGATTAATTTATTTGAGCTGGGGAATTTTAATCCCAACTCCCAAATCTCTTCAGAGGAAACCTTCATTTGTCATTTCTCAGTATGTTTGTTATTCATTAGATGTGTTTGCATCTTTTGCTTCATGGTGCAATAGAGATGAAGTTATCTCTGAAAACATTATCTTAAATTCTAAAACGTCTGTAACTTGTGTTCTTTGGCAGGTTTTTTTTGACAGGGTGCTATGATGGTTTAGGAAGGTAATTTTACTAAGTTTTGTTATATTTTCTGTATATTGGGATTTCTTGTGTGTATGTCAAATAATTCTTGATATACCCATAATAAGGAAGCTTGATGTTTACTCTCCTGATTTTGATCTTCTTTTAGGGTATGGGAAGCTGCTGGTGTATGTACACACATACTGGAAGGACACAGTGAACCTGTTTCTTCTGTTAGCATAATCAATCCAGAAGGTAGCCATAAGTATCTGTAATTCAATTTCCAAAAATCTTTAGGTCTTGTCACCATTGCTTGAGCAGTTATTTATCTTTTAATTTTTATGCAGGTGCAGATAGTGTTACCGTAGCTACTGCTTCGAAAGACCGGACACTTAGACTGTGGAAGGTAATTGGATGAGCATACTTTTTTTATAATGGTAGTCTTACGCGTTCACTAATATTTTTATTCATTTTTCGGGGGAAGTTCAATGCAGAAGATACCAGAAGAAATCCTTTGAAGATAAGTGCATTCAAAATTTTGCGTGGACATAGAGCATCTGTTCAAAGTGTTGCTGCTCAGACCTCTGGAAACATGGTCTTGTCTACTCACCTCTTCTTTATTTTTTGGTTACATAGCAGTGTATGTGAGATTGGGCTCTGACATCAAGTTTGTCACTCACCTCTTCTTTATTTTTTGGTTACATGTACTTAGATCTGTTCAGGCTCTTGGGATTGCATGATCAATTTATGGCAGACAAATGAGCCAGCTTCAGAAGGTGACACTGTATCAACAAAGAAGAGAAAAACCACTGGTCAAGCTAAGGAATCTCAGTCGGAGGTATTTTATATGTATTTCTAAATTTATATATAAGGGTTTAATAATTTTTGGGGTGACATGCAATTGACTATGTGGGAGAGGCTTTTTAAATATTTAACTTCTGGGCGTACACTGTTTATACAACTTCAAGTACACACAAATGGCATTAGAACATAACATTTTGTTCTCAACTGAAAGTTTTCCATTACTGAATTATTGATGTTTTTTTTTAATTCTACCTATTATTTAAATTTGTTCCTGTTAATGCAAAACAGTAGTTTGTTGTAATATGTAAAGGTAATGGAAAGATCAATTCATGTGAAAGGGATGTCTATGTAACAAACAGAATTTAATTCATTCCTTTGAAGGGGATGCTTAGCTGCATATTGAATTTTTTTTTGTGTGGAGAGTTTAGCTAGAAATACATGAAGTGTTTCCTCTTTAGAAAGATTTAAAAGATTATTGCATCAATCATCATTGTGTGGTTTTCCTCTTTAGGGGGAGGCTGTTTCTTCTCTAGTGGGCCACACACAATGTGTATCTTCTGTAAAGTGGCCGGAGCGTGAAACAATATATTCTGCATCGTGGGACCACTCTATTAGAAGGTGGAATGCTGAGACAGGCAAAGACTCGTTGAACATAGTAAGTGCAAATAGATTTTTTCTTACCTCTCTGTTGTCTGAAGTCTTTTTCCATAACCATGCCTGTATGTGGCATCGAATACTTATCACATGCTACAGAACAAAGTCCTTGCTTTTCCTTTCTCAGATTTCTTGAAAGTTTAAATGGTAACTTTCTCTTGCCATACAGTTCTGTGGTAAAGCCCTCAACTGTCTCGATATTGGAGGTGAAAGTTCTGCTCTTGTTGCTGCTGGTGGTTCTGACCCTATTCTTAAGATATGGGATCCTCGTAAACCAGGTCTGTTAGATGAGCTAAGTGCTTTGTTCTCTCTCTGTTTCACGCGCACACGGACACAAACTCAACAACACAAACATCTAACATAATATTTTTTTTTCTAGGAACTTCTGCTCCTGTCTATCAATTCTCATCTCACACTTCTTGGGTTACGGCATGCAAGTGGCATGAGAAGTCTTGGTTTCATTTAATTTCTGCATCTCATGATGGAAAAGTTATGCTGTGGGATTTGAGAACTGCTGTAATGCCTTCTCCTTCTTTTGCTATCTAACAATGGTTCATGAGTGCTGCCCAACGTGACCTTTAAATAAATTTGGTACTTAATAATATTATTTTCTCTTGCAGTGGCCCTTATTTGTCATTGATGCACACAAAGACAAGGTATAACATTATTCTTTCTTTCTAACCTTTATCATTTCTTCATTATTGTAAAGAAATTCAAATTTTTGATACTATGGTGATCTTTGCTGTAACTCAGGCACTATGTGCTGACTGGTGGAGAGGTGATACTGTGCTTAGTGGTGGGGCAGATTCAAAGCTTTGCATGACTTCTGGGGCTTCTGTGCTGTGAGAGGTAAAAAGTTAAAGTTTATAGGTTATTTAGAAACTTTAATTGACCTTTAAAACCTTAAAGTGAAATAGATTCTTTTGAATGTTGTCTTCACTATAACTCAATCTTGGATAAGAGTAACATAACTCATCAGTGGAACAAGACACTTTTATATACCTTTTTATGTTCATCTGGGTGCATACCTACACAGATGAGCTTTGTTTTAAAAGTTTGTTTTGATTTGATGATCCTACTTTTTACTGTATTCACATGTTGCATTAAAAGCTCAAAGATTTTCTCTCTTTGTATTTGGCTTTAGTTTCCTGCTCAATTGTAATATCTGTACTTTTGCCTTTGTTCTCAGCTCTAAGCAGAAGAGTGATTTGAAGATGGAAGTTGCATAGCTGGGAACATCCTCAAAGCTCTCTCTGCATTTCTCATGATCTTCTAGAAATGGTGGTGAGAATAGGGCAGTCAAAGTTTGCGTCTGGGGGAGGTTTGACCAAGGGTTTAGGTGCTCGGTTGTCTCATAGCCGGAGCCGGAGATATATAGTTTCAGAGCTAATTTTCATCCCATGGCACACTATGGTTGTAGCAAATAGAACAGGCTTTACC